TTTTAAGATGCGCAAGCATGGGAAGCGAGCCGGTGCGCTCGTCAAGCTCTGACAGCGCGGCTTTTCATCCATCTGCCGAATCTCCGCTCTCTACCCAACAAAATGGACAAACTTCTTCTGCTCTCCCGAATAAATAAGGACTTTTCAAACTCTGCTGCTCTGTGTTTCACAGAAACCTGGCTGAATGAAGCAGGACTCTGTTATAATCATTCTTGGGGACTTTAATAAAGCAAATCTCTCACGTGAACTTCCAAAAAACAGACAGCACATTACATGTCCTACCAGAAACAGAAACTGAAATCAGCTAAACCTGTAATAACGACTGTAAAAAGATGGACTGATGAAGCAGAGCGGGATTTACAAGCCTGCTTCGACTGCACTGATTGGAGTGTTTTTGAAGCTGCTGCCACCGATCTGGACGAGCTCACAGAGACTGTATCATCAGTTTCTGTGAGGACATGTGCATACAAGGACTCATTAACTTACAACAACGACAAACCATGGTTCACTGCAAAACTCAGACAGCTCCGTCAGGCCAAAGAAGATGCCTACAGGAATGTGGACAGAGTCTTGTATACACAGGCCAAAAACACACTGACAAATGAGATCAGAGTGGCTAAGAGGAACGACTCCGAAAAGCTGAGAAATCAGTTTTCAGCCAGTAACCCTGCATCAGTGTGGAAAGGATTGAAAGAAATCACCATTTACAGGACCCCATCCCCCAGCACTGAGGTGAATCAACAACTGGCCGACAATTTGAATGAGTTCTATTGCAGGTTTGAAAAACCCTGTCTCACACCCACACCCATTCTGACCTTTTCTCCTTGGATCTATTAACACCTCTCACAACCCAAGAAACCCAAAGAAATCACAGGCCTTAATGATTAAAGACCTGTGGCTTTAACATCTGTGGTCATGAAGTCATTTGAAAGACTGGTGCTGGCCCACTTGAAGGACATCACTGGACCCTTGCTGGACCCCCTGCAGTTTGCTTACTAAGCAAACAGGTCAGTGGATGAGGCAGTCAACATGGGACTGCACTACATCCTGCAACATCTGAACAAACCAGGGACTTATGTGAGGATTCTATTCAGCTCGGCCTTCAACACTATCATCCCAAACCTCCTCCTGTCCAAATTTACCCAGCTCTCTGTGCCCACCTTCATCTGTCAGTGGATCGCCAGCTTCCTGACAGACAGGCAGCAGCTAATGAGGCTGGAAAAATTCTCATCCAGCACCTGCACCATCAGCACTGGTGCTCCTCAGGGATGTGTGATCTCCCCACTGCTCTTCTCTTCTGCACTGCAAAGGATCCCTGTGTCAAGCTCCTGAAGTTTGCAGACGACACCACACTTATTGGCTTCATCCAGGACTGTGATGAGTCTGCTTACAGCCAGGAGGTTAAAGAGCTGGCTGTCTGGTGCAGTTATAACAACCTGGAGCTGAACACCCTGAAAACAGTGGAGATGATTGTGGACTTCAGGAGAAACCCCCCTGGACTCCCCCCACTCAGCATCATGAACAGCACAACTGTGGAGTCATTCAAGTTCCTGGGCACCACCATCTCTCAGGACCTGAAGTGGGACACTCACATTGACTCCATTGCTAAAAAGGTCCAGCAGAGGTTGTACTTCCTTCGCCAGCAGAGAGCAACCTGCCACAGGAGCTGCTGATACAGTTCTAATCTGCAGTCACTGAATACTTCAATAACTGTCTGGTTCAGCTCAGCTACCAAATCAGACCTTAGAAGATTGCAGCGGATAGTCCGGACTGCTGAGAGAATCACTGGTACGACCCTCCCCACTCTCCAAGAGCTGCACTTATCCAGAGTGAGTAAAAGGGCTGGCAAAATCATTCTGGACCTCTTACACCCAGACCACTTCTTCTTTGAACTATTGCCGTCTGGTCGGCGCTACAGACCACTGAGCACCAGAACAGCCAGGCATAAGAACAGTTTCTTCCCTCAGGCAATCCATCTCATGAACAGTTAACTTGGCAATAAATGTGTAATACACAAACATTATTTATTTAACACACCATACTTCTTATTCACATTTCCTTGCATTTGTACATAGCATGTTCACAAATGCCATCTATTTTCTATTTGCATGTTGTGTATTTTTTTAAATATTTGTTGTATATTATTATTTCCTATTTATTATCTGTGTCTTGTCACTGTGATCTGTTTGTGCTGTGGAAGCTTCTGTCACCAAAACAAATTCCTCATATGTGTAAACATACCTGGCAATAAAGCTCTTTCTGATTCTAATTCTGAAAACATCTACCCCATTGGCAAACTGTACTTTTTTGTAACATAAACCTCACTATATTTTCACAATGTGACAGTTGTTGTTGTCTATTTCATATGAAATTTGGATAATTCTTAAAGGCACAGTAGCAAAAAAAAAGATAGATAGATAGATAGATAGATAGATAGACCTTTTAAATCTAAAGCTGAGAGAGTGAGTGACAAATTGTCATGAAAAGGTTCTTTTTTAGAACAGGGTCAAGTCCAATTCGGTTTTAGTGAACGGAAAAGAGTCATGCAAAACTACATTACTTTTAGGTACAAGAAACCTTGAGGTACATATTTTAATGTGACTGAATATGAATTGCTAGAATATGCTACAAAAATGTAGAAAATGGCTCCTTTAAGAAAAAAAAAACAGCATTTGCATGTGCACTCCAAGGATGGATAATTAAGAATACATTTATTTTTCAGAGAAACTTTCCTCCCATTTATTCTCTTTAAACAGCAGAGCCAAACAGGGAGGAGGATTTAATTTGAAGCCTGTGAAATAATGGCGATGACAAAGGAAACAATAGTTTAATTTCTCGCCCAGCACAGTGCACAGTTCCAGGAGGAAATAAACTGCCTTATTATTTGACTCATACACCTTCTTTGTTTTGCACGGATTTGTCCTATTTACATTTAAATTCAGGGGCTTATATAAATTCTTCCCTGCTGCACCCAACATATATCATTCTTTTGATTAGATTAGATTAGATTGATTATATTCCTGCAAGAACTAGACAACTTTGCAGGCATCTGTGCAACTGCCCTAACGGAAACACTCATAGAATGCCAGTTCTATTCTTAAATGTCATTTAGATGACAAAATTGCCATAATCCCAATGATTAGTATGTTTAATTGTAATTCAATTATTCTGGGTATTTGTGATGGTCTGATTATGTCATGAGCATCTACATTTATTGTTTTTTTTTTTTTAACCTTCCTCACCCTCATTCTCATCGGAGGCTGATGCGAAAGACGGTGTTCAAGTTAATGGATTTGAATTCCCTGAAATCAAAACTCTATAAGTCTATTAAGAATGTCTGCAATTTGCCATTATCTGCTGCACCCGACCAGCCAAGCCTGACTCGAATTAAGCAAAAAAAACTGTTTAGAATGTATCAGTGGCTCATTTGCAAAATCCAGTGTGTCAGCAGCTCTCTCGCCAGCGCAGTGAAGATAAGATGTGTGCCACTCATTCCTGTCTGTCAGTCATAATCCAGCCAAGAAATTACATTCACTCTTCAGTCACACTGTGAATACAGAGCAGACACATCAGTAATAGTCAATATGACATAGGAATGGCAATCATAAGGAATTATGATTCAGGTTCCTGAACATTTCCACTAGTGATTGTTTTTGTAATTTTTGAAGCCATAGTAAAAGTATTTTAGACTAAAAATAATAAATGCATATTGTATTGTATGCATATTTTCATTTTAATAAATGCATTTTTTTTTTGTGCAATGTTTGTCATAGGCCAATTGTTTTCTACAGTAGTTAGATTTTTTTCTTTATTTATTTGACTAGAGGCGGGATAATAGTCATCATAGCCATTATTTAAATTTGTTTTTTTTTTCAGTAAATTGAAAGCATATGCACCAAAAAAGTTAGTTGGCTTGAACCTGCTTCCAGGCAGACAAACCCTGATCTAAAGAGGCTTATTTGGAGATCAACATATGAACCGTGTGTTGATATTTCATTCATGATTACGCTGTAATACTTTAAGCAGACACAACCGCAGATGGCAGAGCATGTGTTATAGCAACAAAAAACATCTGTGTAATTTTCTCACAGATTTACGCATGAATTAGTGTGTGCATGACATTCTTTCCAGAAAAGAAGCTGCGGAGAATTTAAATAAGGTTGAAAGGCACAAAAAGATGACAGCAGCCAATTTTATAATGGGCCTGTCCATTATTTTAGGCTTATTTTTTCACTCAAGGGACGTCTGTCTTTGGGATTATTACATTATTGGATTATTTTGTGTTTAATTTGCACTCTGCATGTTGCTGGAAAGTTAATCGTAGCTACCCGTAATATTTCTAGCTAAAATCATCTCAATGTCACATTCCAGTGTACATCCTCTTACAAGTACAAGACACAAAATCTCAAAAATATATATTATTGTAATATTAGAGTATCTTAATGCATATAATATTAATCGACTTGAGTATATATATATGTGTGTGTGTGTGTATGTACAGTGGTGTGAAAAAGTGTTGGCCCCCTTCCTGATTTATTATTTTTTTGCATGTTTGTCACACTTTAATGTTTCAGATCATCAAACAAATTTAAATATTAGTAAAAGATAACACAAGTGAACACAACATGCAGTTTTTAAATGAAGGTTTTTATTATTAAGGGAAAACAAAATCCAAAAATACATGGCAAAAACTGCATGTTGTGTTTACTTGTGTTATCTTTGACTAATATTTAAATTTGTTTGATGATCTGAAACATTAAAGTGTGACAAACGTGCAAAAAAATAAGAAATCAGGAAGGGGGCCCAACACTTTTTCACACCACTGTATGTGTGTGTATATACACATATACACATATATGTGTCACATGTATGTTCCTGTTGAGTTCCTGTTTTCCTTATTTGGTCCTTCCAGTTCCTTTTCACATTATTAGTATCACCTGTTCCTTGTTATTAGTTATCCCCATCACCTGTCTGCCCCTCGTTATCTACCCTATTTAGTTCTAGCCCGTTCTCAGGATGTCTTGGCTGTAAACGGTGAGCAGCCACTTGCAGCTTGGCACCACTGTAGGCTCTGGGGGCTCCTGGAATTTTACTGGCATCACCCCGGGTTGATTGAGGAAGTCAACGCATTGGGTGGTGTACCGGGCCAGACGATGGAGCCACTGCTCGCTGTGGTTTTCACGCAGCTGCTTGATCACCCGCGTGGGGCTGTTGCCTAAGCCACGCTCACGCAGGAGCCGGATGACCCGCATATCACAGGCGTACCTTAGGAAATGCAAAATCCACACATTCATATATTTTAGATATTTGATTTGTAAAGTATTTGCTTATATATGTGATGATGGGCTAACAACTGGATGAGGAATGAAAGTGTACTTACTTCCGCGTGAGGATGACCTGAAACTCAGAGCGATGGCCCAGATCTAGCTGCTGCAGGACAGTCTGACTCCAGGACACATGCGAGGCTCTACACTTGGTACAGATGAGGGTTTCTGTGACCATGTTGTACGTTCTGTCAATGTCTAGAACCTGCCGTGACCTTTTGTGCAGACCACCTCCTGTCAGCTGATGTTGTCCACAGGCAGGATTGGGACAGAGAACCTTAACCCTCCACAGCTTGTACGGCATCCACAGCAGAAAAGAATGACAAAAGAATCTGTCTGGAGCTGGAGCCTGATTGTAAATAAGTGCTGGCTGTGGTGGGTAATACCAGAGCTGGAGGTTATCACGAAGCCCTGGCTTTCCCTTGGATCCCATTTTGAAAAGCCTTTTGCCAATCCACTTGTGATCCTCTGGTGGCAAGGTCTCCGACCACAAACGAGGAAGCGGAACTACAGATGGACCTTGCAATAATGCCCCAGAATGAGCTGTCTGTGAAGGAAAAAAGACAAAACATTTAGTCAAGTAAGGTCATTTTATTTTTTAAGCACTTTTTAAGCAGTTTATTTTTATCCATGATTACCTTCACATGAAATTATCATTGCAATAATAGTTTTCACTTAAATACCTTTAGTATTACAGTGATTATGACAATGAAACTGATAACTTTACATTATACACTGCTGTCATCCAAAAAAAAGTAACGAAATAATTATTCTGAAATCCTGTTTAATATATGAAATAAAACATTTGAGATTTTACAAACAATATCTCTTTATTTTGACACATGAATGTTAACATATATACATTGTTTTATCATTGATAAATCAGTATCAAGTAAACTCAATTGACATTATGACAATAGTTTGATTGTTGTTTTTTCTCAGCTTGAATGTGTTTTAAGAAACTACTGGTTATAAAAGTTATATTCAAAATTTCAGGGCATGTGAGCCTTTTAACATCTCTGTTAAGTGAAAAGAACAAATTAGATAAATTACTTTCCAAAGTGTTAAGAATGGTGTCAGCTGTCTGGCGACTTTTTGGCGACTGATTTAATTACATTTTTAGACCAACAGAATAGGAAATTACTTACGGAGACAATACTGCATGGCTGAGCGGGACTGGACACATCTGCAGTGGCTCTGGGGACAGGGGCTGGAACTTGAGCATCTGGTGTCTGTACAATCATGAAGTAAAAAATAATAGATTTTGTAAATATAACATTACAATAACTTTAACTCATCCTAGATTATATCATACGCTACAGTTTAAAAGTTTGAGGTCTAAATGTTTATAAAAGAAACCTATTCTGTTCACCAGAGTTGCATTTGATCAAAAATACAGTAAAAACAGTAAAAAGATATGGTTACATTATGAAACATTACTACAATTTAAAGTTGTGAAATGTAATTTATTTCTATGGGGGCAAGAACACATTTTCAGCATCATTACTCCAGTCTTCAGTGTTACATGATCCTTCAGAAATCATTCTATTGAACATAAACATTCATTACTATTAGTTGAAAATGTGAAAATGGCTGGTACTTAATAAAACTGCATTAGTGGTTGTCACGCTTACTGTGTTGAGGAAAGCGCACAAAGATGAAAATGAAGCGTAAATAGTCTTTAATTAATCCACACAGAGGAAGGCAGTAACACACGGACCAAGACAAACTGAACAAACTAAAGCTTAAGTAGACAGACCAATGAGGGACGAATGAGTAAATTAACTAGACACAAGTGAACTGAATAACATAATCAAGGGGAGACAGAAACTAGGTCAAGGAACATGAGGAGAGTTAACACAACAAAGTCCATAAATGTGACAGTGGTATTTTTCAGAATTAAGTTTGAAGAACAGCATTTATTCGAAATAGAAATCCTTTGTAACATTAAATGTCTTTACTGAGATTTTTGATCAATTTAATGCCTCCTTTTTCAATATCTTTAAAAAAAATAAAACTTACTGACCCAAAACTTTTGAATGGTAGTTTGTGTGAAATCTATTTATATAATATTGCTTTTTTCTTTGTTAAAATATGGTTTTCTGGTATTAAAAAATATTTTTAAAAGTTTAATAATTTGGATAGAATGGAAAGTGGAACGTGTCTTCATAGAATACAATGTAGATTATGCAATTACTTACAGAGACAGTGGTGCTTGGTATAGAGGCACTAGACACTGCTGCGCTGGGCTGGTCTTCAACCTGGGAAGGTCTCCTGGCCACATTAAGATTCGGTTTTGCTGCAGCAATGTGAGAGCCGGTAAATCTTGGTTTGGTATACTAAAAATGTGAGAAGACACAATGTGTTATAATAGCAAGCATTACTATTTATTTTAATATTACTATTTTAAGTAAATGCAGACTTCAAAAATACTTCTTTCTGAATGGAAGTGTAGTCCATAAGAGGAATGATTCATTAGCAGTACTGACTCTTGAAATAACTACAAAGTATTTGCATGGTGGAATAATTATTAACATGTGTACAATTAATAATAGCCAGCGTGTATGTGGAATGTTACCTGAGATATAGAATGAAAAAGAGAAAATGTAGCTTTAACACATGAGAAGTATAGAGAGAGATGCCATGAGGGACATGAGTCTAGCTCAGTGACCTTCAACCCAGGCCGAGCTCAGTTAGAGAGGAAGAGGACAATCCAAGAGTAGAGCCCAGAGATGAAAGAGAGAGAGCACACAGGTTACATTCTTCATTTATCCTTGACCATGTGACTTAAACCAAATCTGAGATATTCAAACCGACCAATCAGCAGACAACAGCTGCCCCCACTGTACAAGAGGTGTGACAATTAGTAGGTCTCAGCCAGCATCTCTTAGTTTTCTTGCTTTCTTCTTACTTTCTGAACTTCCTCGAATTTGAAGTGAACTCATACTTCAATGCTTTAAAAAAAAAATTGCAACTCACCATTGACAATTGTGCTGCAACTCTTGCTGCCACAGGAGCAGTAGGCTGGGGCTGGGGGTCCGGCTGACTCTGCTCCATGGCCTTCTTTGCTGTTCCAGCAGCAGCAGCAGGTTGTTCCACCACCCTTTGTGCTGGTCCAGTAGGGCTGGCAGTTGGCTGTTTAAGACAGCCCAAAAAAAATACATGTAACAATTCAGAAAGAAAACCATTTCAGTAAATAATACTAACAAAAAATACTTGCTACATTAATGTTACCTTTGGAGTGTGAAAACCACAGATGCATTTCAGCACACCTCCAAGCAAGTTTGTCTGGCCACGAGACAGCATCGGACATTTCTCAATCTGTAAGCATAATAACAAATGTAATGCACAATACAAGTGAGTCCCTTAACAGAGCATACAATACTTCATTAAATTCATATATTAATTAATTCATTGATTAATTTCTAGGACACGAGTCACTATTTATCTTATATACAGTGGTGTGAAAAAGTGTTGGCCCCCTTCCTGATTTCTTATTTTTTTTGCATGTTTGTCACACTTTAATGTTTCAGATCATCAAACAAATTTAAATATTAGTAAAAGATAACACAAGTGAACACAACATGCAGTTTTTAAATGAAGGTTTTTATTATTAAGGGAAAACAAAATCCAAAACTACATGGCCCTGTGTGAAGAAGTGTTTGCCCCCCTGTTAAAACTGTGGTTTATCACACCTGAGTTCAATTTCTCTAGCCACACCCAGGCCTGATTACTGCCACACCTGTTCGCAATCAAGAAATCTCTTAAATAGGACCTGCCTGACAAAGTGAAGTAGACCAAAAGATCCTCAAAAGCTAGACATCATGCCGAGATCCAAAGAAATTCAGAAACAAATGAGAAAGAAAGTAATTGAGATCTATCAGTCTGGAAAAGGTTATAAAGCCATTTCTAAAGCTTTGGGACTCCAGCGAACCACAGTGAGAGCCATTATTCACAAATGGCAAAAACATGGAACAGTGGAGAACCTTCCCAGGAGTGGCCGGCCGACCAAAATTACCCCAAGAGCACAGCGACGACTCATCCAAGAGGTCACAAAAGACCCCACAACAACATCCAAAGAACTGCAGGCCTCACTTGCCTCAGTTAAGGTCAGTGTTCATGACTCCACCATAAGAAAGAGACTGGGCAAAAATGGTCTGCATGGCAGAGTTCCAAGACGAAAACCGCTGCTGAGCAAAAAGAACATAAAGGCTCGTCTCAGTTTTGCCAGAAAACATCTTGATGATCCCCAAGACTTTTGGGAAAATACTCTGTGGACTGACGAGACAAAAGTTGAACTTTTTGGAAGGTGTGTGTCCCATTACGTCTGGCGTAAAAGTAACACTGCATTTCAGAAAAAGAACATCATACCAACAGTAAAATATGGTGGTGGTAGTGTGATGGTCTGGGGCTGTTTTGCTGCTTCAGGACCTGGTAGACTTGCTGTGATAAATGGAACCATGAATTCTGCTGTTTACCAAAAAATCCTGAAGGAGAATGTCCGGCCATCTGTTTGTGACCTCAAGCTGAAGCGAACTTGGGTTCTGCAGCAGGACAATGATCCGAAACACACCAGCAAGTCCACCTCTGAATGGCTGAAGAAAAACAAAATGAAGACTTTGGAGTGGCCTAGTCAAAGTCCTGACCTGAATCCTATTGAGATGCTGTGGCATGACCTTAAAAAGGCGGTTCATGCTCGAAAACCCTCTAATGTGGCTGAATTACAACAATTCTGCATAGATGAGTGGACCAAAATTCCTCCACAGCGCTGTAACAGACTCATTGCAAGTTATCGCAAACGCTTGATTGCAGTTGTTGCTGCTAAGGGTGGCCGAACCAGTTATTAGGTTTAGGGGGCATACACTTTTTCACACAGGGCCATGTAGTTTTGGATTTAGTTTTCCCTTAATAATAAAAACCTTCATTTAAAAACTGCATGTTGTGTTTACTTGTGTTATCTTTGACTAATATTTAAATTTGTTTGATGATCTGAAACATTAAAGTGTGACAAACGTGCAAAAAAATAAGAAATCAGGAAGGGGGCCCAACACTTTTTCACACCACTGTATGTGTGTGTATATACACATATACACATATATGTGTCACATGTATGTTCCTGTTGAGTTCCTGTTTTCCTTATTTGGTCCTTCCAGTTCCTTTTCACATTATTAGTATCACCTGTTCCTTGTTATTAGTTATCCCCATCACCTGTCTGCCCCTCGTTATCTACCCTATTTAGTTCTAGCCCGTTCAGTTCTCCCTTGTCTGGAATTGTATGTTGATGTCTTCTCCTTGTGCTACGTGTGATTCCCTGTGACAAGAATAAATCCCTTTGGTTTGTACTCCTGGTCTCCTGGTCTCCTCGTTCCGCGCTCATCACACTACCACCGACCGTGACAGAATTCCAGACCAAAAACAAAAGTAAGCAGCGCCCCTTCTCCTCGTTTTTCCCGTTTTTTGTTTCCTGATTTTTCCTTCCCGCGGCATGGAGATCGCCGCGGGTTTCCTCGCCATGTCCCGCCAAGATCTCCCCTTCTACGAGTACGCCAGGGAGTTCTGCACGCGGGATGCGCTGTCTGGGAGGGGGGCGATCTGTCACATGTATGTTCCTGTTGAGTTCCTGTTTTCCTTATTTGGTCCTTCCAGTTCCTTTTCACATTATTAGTATCACCTGTTCCTTGTTATTAGTTATCCCCATCACCTGTCTGCCCCTCGTTATCTACCCTATTTAGTTCTAGCCCGTTCAGTTCTCCCTTGTCTGGAATTGTATGTTGATGTCTTCTCCTCGTGCTACGTGTGATTCCCTGTGACAAGAATAAATCCCTTTGTTTTGTACTCCTGGTCTCCTCGTCTCCTCGTTCCGCGCTCATCACACTACCACCGACCGTGACAATATGTGTGTGTAATATGTTTTATAGCATTTTTAATGTATCTGACTGTTACGTTATTGATGTTTATTTATTTATTTATTTATTTATTGTACTATTATTTTCTAATATGCTAATATGTGTGAGGAAAAATTGTAAAGGTTTATGCCAAACATTTTTTTAAAATTTACTTAAGAAAGTTTACTTAGAAAAAAGTAAAGAGAATTTCCAGACAATTTTCAAAATTATTGTTCCATTACGGCAACCAACGTTGTATCCTTAAATGTATCTCACCCACTCACTCACTCAGTTAAGTTATTTATATTTATTTTAAGTTATCATTTTAATTGGCATGAGAAATCAATGCTGATATGTGAAAGATGTTTGAGGCAAAGTTTCAATGGTTTATGCCTTTTTTTAAGAGCAAAAAGTAAGAACAATTGTCTCTGCTCTCCCCTACAGCGTTGAAAGAAAAGCCAATGACACCCTGTCCTCAAAACAAAGGACGTGATTTCAGTGGTTGCGTCGTGTTGCTTGAATCCCCTACACTTGATGAGGCCTGAGATCATTATCTGAAGCAGATTCAGGCCGGCTCATAGAGAAATGCCCTGCAGCTTTTTTGTATTACGATCTAAAGAGGCCTACAATGTGCACTGACTTTTGCCAGCACTGGGAGTTCAGACATGCTCGAAGCTTTTAACAACCTCTACCGTCGACCCCCGCAGGCACGCCGCTGCTCAGTTTCCTGCGTAAATGTGTCTCACCTAACGAACAGTGTGCAGTTTTGTGTTAATGAAGATGACCTCTCTTCCGCTGGGTGGAGCGTGAATGATCTGCAGCACGTTCTTGCTGACTGATAATGGAATTGATTGTGACAGCATTTTGTCTGTCAGGATAATTACAAAGCTCGGTGCTCAGTGACTGTATGTTGCTCAGAGATCTGGACAATACTCACAGGCCAAAGAGCCTCATGCTTTCACAATACAGTGAATGTGATAGTATTAGGACCGTAGAAAACCCTCTGATGCAAATCGGGGTCTTCTGCACCAAATCTGCATATTAGAATGATTTCGAAGGATCATGTGACACTGAAAATTCATGCTTCTGAAAATTCAGCTTTGCCATCACAGGAATAAATTACATGTTAAAATACAAAATAGTTATTTTAATTGTAACAATACTTCATAATATTACTGTGGATTATTGTGATGTTTCTATCAGCTGTTTGAACTCCCATTCTGACGGCACCCATTCACTGCAGAGGATCCGTTGGTGAGCGAGTGATGTAATGCTACATTTCTCCAAATCTGTTCAGATGAAGAAACAAACTCATCTACATCTTGGATGGCCTGAGGGTGAGTACATTTTCATTTCTGGGTGAACTGACAGTTATCAATCCTTCAAATAGAGGCTGGAAATGACAGATTCCTTGTTGAGCTTGTTTGTAGCTCCAGTCTCTTTCTCATTCCCCGTGGAGGGTCTGCCTTCCCACAAACACCCCATACTCTTCCACGGTGTCTAGACTGTCATTATAGTGTTCATCCTGTCAGGGTGTCAGAGGGAATAAGCCACTCGCAGGTTTTCGTGACAGATGAAACTGTTCTTGCAGCTTGCTCTGAGTGAAATAAACTTCAAGTCAAGTACAAATAACATTGACAGGAAGTCGCTGGAAAAGTTTCTTGTTGAAAGATAATTATGAACAACCCTTCTTTTATGATGTAAACATGACAGTTTATCTCCTTTCAAGCAATAAGTGTTTATATTCCGGATTGTTAAGCCACATGGCAATGTTTAGAATGTAATGCTAGCATTATAGATTTCATAGAATTTGTATATATATATATATATATATATATATATAGAATGTAGTATGTTTTATAGAGCTTTACAGTAAATAATGTACTAGTTTAATTGCAACACATTTAATCTATCTGACTCAGTTAAGTTATTGATATTTATTTATTTTTAAGTTATGTACAGTAAAGAAAAAAGTTTTTTACAGAATTTTTTTGGGCTTCAAATATAAATTTGACTGACCGATTTAGTTTGATTTTGTAAGACAGGTTTTACCATTTTTATTTTATGTGAATTAATATTGTCACCATAATTATGGTTATTCTCATTTGTAATCAAATTTAGGGTAAAAATGTCTCAAGTTCTGACAGTCAGATCCAAAAATAAATCACCAAGTAAATGTTAAGGTAGTTGTTGATATTACTTCCAGTTAGTTTTAGTGTTAACTAGGGCTGTAAATCAATTATAATGTTTTATTGTATAATTTTTGACATTAACACATCAACAAAGGTCCTTTTAACAATCAAAAACTAAATAATTGGCCTTTGTATAATTATTAGGTTGTGCAATTTGTGTGGATGAAACTCATTTTATATTCTCAAACTGCATCAGAGCACACTAGAAATTAGGGCTGCACGATAAATC